CTGCAATCCATGTGGATATAGGAAAGAGAGTCCCCATCCCTGTGCATCCATAGCTCAGTGCAGTGCCAGGCACAGCCCCAGGAGCAGGCTAGCAATATCACAAATGTTCTTTATTCCCAGAAAGGCTGCAGTTGCTCTTCATGGGTAGTCAGTTCCTGGGGTTGCTAAGATAAAAAAAAGGAGCGGCAGCTTCAGCAGCCTGTTGTCTGCAGGCTCAAGTGGCACGTCGGGAACTCCATGGCTGCACAGTGACCAATTTCTCTGGGGCTGACCCCCCCTTCGTGGAACAGTTTCTAAAGGCAAAGCTGTTCTGTGTCTCTCTAAGCCCCGTGGGTTCAGGTGTCCAACATTTTTCCAAATCAGTCCAAACAAATATTTTTTACCTTTCCTGAAGATAAGAGATGTACTGTAAACAACTGAAAACTGCCAGTGGTTCAGCCAGTGGAATATGTGTCAGATGTCCCAGTTCCCAAAGTAGCACCAGTAAGGTCTGGGTGCTGGCATGTCCCAGCAACCAGCCTTCCTAACTGGGAAGCTGCCTCTCAAACCACGCTTCCCAGAATGCTGCCTCTTGGGGGGCTCCCAAGAGGTCCCGGGGATGCAGGAGAGGGAACGTGCACGTCTGCACCACGCTCCTGGAGGAGGAGAGTGGTGGGAATGAGAGCTGAGCATCAGTCATGGAGGGTCACTTCACCACCCCCTCCCAGACTGGGCTCCCAGTATCACTGCAAGTGATGCTGGACAAATGTGCTGGCAAGTGACAAATTGTTTCCCAGCTCAGCCCCGTTCCCTTCCCACCCCTTTTTCCTTGTGAGTCGACTTCTGCCCACACAGATGCTTCCAGACCAGGCTGAATGCCCTCTTCGTTGCACGCTGATGGGATGGTGAGGTTGTACTGATGCACACTTTCTTCCCCTGGATTTCTAGATTCTCCTGCATGTGGGCAGAGAGCAGCGTGATGCTGTGTGACTGAAGTCCCCGCTCACAGTTCATGAATAATAAAGACTGCCAAAGCTCACAGCCCAAAAGCTTTTTGTAAGACCTCCAGCACACATTCAGGCAGCGGACGCCTGCAGGGGTGCAAAACGTGACGGCCTCGTGCCGATCTTCAGCCAGGGGCTACACCGCGCACCCCGGAGCTGGGGGAAGGGGTGGTGCAGGATGGTCCGGCCCCTCCAGTGTGACGGCCTCTGGCTCAGCTGGGTCCTTTCTGTGGATAACGTAGCAAAGGAAAGCAAGGCAGAACCCACTGGGTGCAGGAGGGGTGGAGCCAGAGGCAGTTTATAGGGTTAGTGGGTTTTTTAGGTTGGAAAAGACCTTTAAGATCATCAGGCCCAACCGCTGAGCATCTCCTGTCCGAGCTGGAGAGCGGTGCCCGTGGTGGCATCCGGACAGCTGGGTCTTTGCATCGCTGCAGCCCCGAGCAAAGCTTTGGATCAGCTCCCCACACCACACTTATTTATCCAAATTTTAAATGGCTTTAGCCCCATACCTGCCCACATGGAGAGAGCTACAGTTTCCAGTGGATCTCAAGCCATGCTGAGCTTAACAGGCTCTGAAAAACTTTTTCATCTACTTCTTAGCTGTGCTAGCCTGGGAACAACGTTCCCCTCCGTAAATCATTTGTTTCCAAGCAAATCTGCGCTCCTCTTTGACTGCAGCAGGCAAACAGAAGTGCTCGTGTTCTGGAGGACAGGCTGTTGCTCGCTTTATCAGGACTGTGGGATGGGACTGTCTGGTAGCCACAGGCTACAGGGTAGCCCTGGGGATCCTTCACCATGAGCAGTCCCCGTCAGAATGGGCATTTCCCAGGAGGAACTTGGGAAGGGCCTGGCTTTGAAATTTGTTCTTTTTAATTAAACAGGAGAATCTTAGTAAACCTGGAAATCCCCCTTTTAAATTTGATACACCAGCCTCTTCCAGGCCCCTAAGCCCTCGGGGAGGAAACCATAGGAAGTGAGATTAAATGTGCTTGAAGTGGAGGGACCAGGGAGATGGGGACCCAAGGCCTGCCTGCACTTGTGTAAGCCAAAGCATCGGCTGAAGGAGCGTGTTTGGAAGTAAGCCCATGCAGGAACGGCCTCTTTCTCAGAGGAGACCACCCTTTCCCAGGAACGTGAGCTAAATAAAAGACGACTTTGCCCATACCTACAAGGGCTTGCTGGGGGCGCAGTTTTGCAAAGCTAGCGGCAAGGCAGTTTCTGTTGCAAGAGTTCCTGTGCAACAGGCTGTTTGCCGTATCTGCAGAGGAAATCGGCTATGTCACCCCACGGGCTCTTCTCTGCCAGTAGGAAACCGTGGCGAAGATGCATACTATAGGCAGCAGCACTGCATTGGGAAGAGTTTAAGTTGACTTAAAAGAAGCCGAGGCTCTGCACTGGTTCAGCTGCGTGTTTGATAACACCAGTACAAATCACCACTCAGGTCCTGCTGCTCTCAGATCATGCCCTTCCTACAGGAGAAAGGTGAGCAAATGCATGGCAGGTACCATCCAGGTTTTTTAACTCTCCTGTTTTTAAATGAATGGCATTTTTGTTAGTATTTACTTCCACATTTACTTCAGCTAAAGTATAGCTATGTATTTTATGGGGTTAGCATATGATACCCTCTCACTTCGCCTGTGAAATACAGGGGTGGAACGCGGTCCTGCTGGCACGGAACGCTTTGGTGCACAGCATGGAAACGCTAAGGGGCTGAAAGTGATGGGGAAGTTTTCTTTTATAAAGACGCTGGAGTGGGCTATGCCATCAAAAGGATACAAAGTGGAAGCCACATCCTGCCGACTTGGCTAATCCATAAAAGAGCTTTCAGTGTTTTCCCTTGGAGTAACAGCTTTAAATTTTAATAAGCTGTAGTGTACTTTCACCGGATGCCATAAGCTGATACAAAGTTTAAATGGGGTTAAGTAAGTGGGAGCCTAGGAGAAATGAACATAAAAAATTATTTCCTTTCTTTTACAAGTTTATTTCACTAGGTTTATTTTGAGGAAAAAAAACCCAAAACATTTAATTCAAATTATTTTTTCTTCTCTGGGTGACTCAGATGTCAGGGGAGGGAAACAACACTTGAAGTAACCACAGAGCAACTTCAGCAGAAAGGACACCTGGTAAAAAGAAAGAAATTAATCAAGTCATTGATTCAGGTTACTTTGTCATTCGATAGATTTTAGGATAGCTACCAAGTCACAGATTTGTGTGCCTGAGCGTGATCCACGCAAGCTGGTAAAACAAGGATTTGCAGGCAGATTCCTTGCAAGGTCATCCAGCCGGCCCCTTCCCCAGGGCAGGATTGACTCTGCCCAAGTCCTTCCGGACAGACTTCTGTTCAGCCTATCCTTGGAGCCCTCAGCGGTGGAGAACCGCAGCCCGCCGCAGTGAGCGACCCCAGCGCCGGCGCTCTGCCGCTGAGGAGCTTCCCTGCACCTACAGCAGCTGTGCCTTCCTCCACTTTAAGCCCATTACCTCCCGTGTTACCCCCGCCAAAGAGGAGGTCTGGTTTATCTCCTTCCTCTTCGCAGCTCTGGGTGGCATCTTTGCAGGCTGCTGCCGCTGCAGCCTCCCCCAGCCCACCGGATCCATCTGTTTCCCCTTTCCCCACCAGCCAGCCCTGCGGCTGCCTTCTAGATACCCTGCAGCAGACCCAAATACCCCCAGAAATATCGTCTAGGGTGATATCCAGAGGCTAGACCAAAGCCTAGATCTACTGTTTGTCTGTTTTCTCTTTGCAGAGGTGGGCAAAGAGCTTTTCAGGCATGGGGTGTGCAATGCCATGCTTCTGCTGGAGTAAGAGAGGGAGTCTGTAGTCCGCACCATGACCCTCCAGCCACCCAGCCTGTGCTGTGCCCGGGGATCCCAGAGAACAAGCAGGGGCTGTGGGGTGCAGGGTTTTTTCCTCCTGCTGGCAATGCTACAGAAAAAAGAGGCATAAGAGTTTTTACTGAATGTATTTATTTTGTTTGCTTAATATATGTGTAGCCCACTGAAATGGCCCCAACACATTCTCGGCTAAAAGCATGAGCTGCTCCATTTTGAGCTTAGAAAATCAGTTCTGTACCGAGGAGCTGTACTCATCCTCGGCAGAGTGGGCATAGTAACATGCACTGTACAGTGGATTGTATTTATGTGATTATACCTCTAGGCAACAACCTGGTGCTTAAGAAATGAGTCAGTCAGAAAGACCAAGGCAGAGGGAATCAGATTCAGCAATGATAAAATTTGCTTCCAAAAGTTCTGGACCAAAGTAACCAGCAATATGCTTGTCCTCATAGTCAATTCAAAGGCATGGGTAAGAATGTTTTATGTCATTTGATGGCTCCCAACCGTCGAAAGAAGCAGTAACCACACACGAGGACCAGGATTCGCAGCATGAGAGGCTGGTTGGGCACTGACGGGCAGGAATAGCCGGGAGACCTGAGTGAAAACCCGGCTGGGCTGATGAGGGCTGTTAGTGGGGGGAGATGTGTCGGTGTGGAAGAGGAGCAGGTTCCTGGGAAATACATCCAGAAAAAGGGAAGAGACAGGACAAGAAGGCAAGAAATGCGTGCAGGGAAACAGCGGCAGGAAGAGGAAAGAACAAATGAGAACTGGCAAGTTGATAAAAGAACAAAAGGGCTTTGTCTCACATTAAAGGCAGCTAACTACACAAATCATTTTCCCATGTAAGCAATTACTGCCGCTACCCCAGGGATAGTACGCGGTTGCAAATGGGAAGACTGAATTCTTTACATTCAGAGCTGGGTCTGGCAAGTGCTCCATCAATATGGCTCATGACACTCTGGGCCATGTCAGGCAAGCGGAGAAACTGAAACTCGATTGCGCAGATAGCTGGGATCCCTGTTTTAGAAATTGCCTGTCCATCTGTATGCGGGAGTAAGTAATCAGCTAGTGGAACAGAAAGATCAGCGGCTTCTGAAAGGAGGCAGGAGGTTTGGTTTATTCCTCTTTCACTCCTGACAGCGGCTGTTGACAGCAGCTTGCAGCAGGCAGGGGAGTCACGTAGGCATGAGTCAGGTAAAAATCAGACGTAAGTCTGAGATTCCCTTTCAGCCTGATTTTTCAGAAGTGCTGAGTGCAGGCAACTCCAATTCAAGCCAACGCACTGTTTAGCTTAATTCTGTTTTACAGCAACAGAGCTGGGAATATAAAACAGGTCTGAGAGACACCGAGGCCACAATAAACCAAAATTCGTTTGGTTCTTAATTGTATAGGTTGTGGCATGCATTTTTTTCTAATTCTTTGGGAATAGGCACCTATGATGATGGATTTGTTACAGAATGTAGATTTAAAGTGAAAAATATGAGCTCCTTGTATTTTATTGAAAATGCCCAAGCAGTTAATAATCTTTTTATTTGCTTTCTGGGGGAAGAAAAAAGGTTCCAGCTCAATATCAAATCACATCTATGGGGCCATAAAGTGAGGGGGGTGGCTGTCCTGCTGCAGGGTCTGTGTCTGGCAGTGCTTTTCACCCTCCATAATCAGCTTTTTGCAATGGGTTGCTCTGCTGGGACTTGGGAGAAATTGGTAACGAGGCTGATGGTCGCGAACTGATCTGCTTTGTTAGACTTTGTCTCAAGAGCGACCAAGTCATGACACCGATGAGGTCCCAGCTTGACAATCTCCTATTGCCACTGCTCGGCTGTCCTTAGCCCTGGGTATAAATTTACTCGCCTTCCAGCTCTCCATTTACTGGCACAAACTTATCTCACTGCTTGTACTGTGTTTTGACATCAGCCGCTCCAAAATTAGAAACTGATGTTATGGAAAACTTAATAATGTTAAAGAAATGCCAACCCATCTTCCCTGCTGTCTTGTGCTAATGCTTTTGTCTGACGAATTTCTTGCATTTCACAACCGACCAGAGGATGAGGGTTCAGGATTGCGCCCCAGCAGGGATGTAGTGCAGCTCAAGCCCCAGACTAGGACTGCATGGCATTTGGGTTACTCCCTATACCCCACCTCCCTGACCCATCTCCTGCAGGACCCTCGATCAGCCTTCCCCTCCATCTCCTTTCCGGCAGCCAGAGCTCTTCGGCTTTCTCTCCACCAAATTTCTCTCACCTTTGGTCGTGCTGAGGTTTGGGGTTAATTCTTTGGGGCGACAAGCGCACATGTAGCACCCCACATAGGGTGTCCCTTGTCTCAGCTCAGGGGACTCAGCCCTAGAAACTTGGCTGATGCTGTCTCTTTTTCTCCCAAAGAAATGGCGTTCATTTATTCACCTAAGCGCCTTTTTAAAGCTCCTTTTGAATTTTGCTCTCTCCAAAAGGCAGCATTTTGCTCTTTAGCAATGCCTGCTGGATGCTGCTCGACGAATGCTGTGCCCTGGAAGCTTTTACCTGGGGGGGGGCCCAGCTGTACCCTCCAGGAGCTGGGGCCCCCCCTACCCAGCTGCAGCGAGAAAGTTTCCCTTTGCAGCACTGAGAACAGGCAGAAACAAAGAGCCCGGAGGAGGTGGGGAGGGGAGAAGGGAAGAATGAGCTAGGTTAGGGGAAATAGAGCCTGGAAGAAAAGGAAAGGACCAGCTGATCTGAAAGCCCCGATAAAAGCCCGAGACAAAGGACGAAAGAGCCTGGGAGATTATCAAGGGGAAGCGGGAGGAGGAGCAGAAAGATGCAGCAGAACCTAAGTGGGAATGATGTAAAGTGCTGCAGGGAGGGGGGAGTTTCCTACCTAAAGCAGAGGGTGGCTCAAGTTACTCAACCACCTCCGTTTACAGGAACCGAGCCCCTTTCTCCCCTCACCCAGCTGGGAGCACCTGACAAACCAAGGAGCCGCTCCAGTGGGGGAAAAAAGTACCCATGTCCATCCTACAGCCCTGACAGCATCAGCCCCGATTGCTCATCCGTTTCCCAGTACGACAGAGTCATTTCGCTGGTGGGCAGAGAAGTCAGGGCCACTCTGCGTCCAGCACCCTGCAGCAGAGGAAGCATTAGTACTGCTGCTGCTAGCCTTGTTATTTTCTTCTAATAAAAAGGTGGTCATGACTCACTCCATTAAGAAACAAAAGCAGAGCTGTAATCAACTGAAAGGCAGTTGTTTGGATGCTCGGCATTAGGTGTGTAAAAAGAGGAAGGTCAGCTGCAGGTCGGGGCTGGTGATATACGCCCTGCCGCCAGGACAGGCCACACTTCAGGTATTCCCCACAGAGTTTATTTTCTGGGCTGGTGTCATTTGCCCCCCTCCTTCAGACGAGCGCTTCAGTCAAGAGCATGGTGCGGGGCGGGGGGTGGGGGGAAGCTCTCTTTCCCACCCCTCCACATTTCACTTGCGTTTCCTGAGAGGAAATGATGCTCTCGTGTGACTGCGCGGGCCCCCTCCTTCCTCCCGGGCGGGAGGAGCACGCTAGCATCTGCCCGCAGCCCCGCTCCCCCTCCCTCTGCCGCACTGGGACCAGTTGACCAGCTGGGCTCTTACTGGGAGCCAAGCCCCGGGGGAGTCAGGCGGCTTCTCAGGGAGGAAGGAGCAGCTCCTGAACAGGGGGCTGGGGGGTGGGAAAGCCAGGTTGTGTCCGGGCTGTGCCATTCCCATGTGAACAGGAATCTCCTGCCCATGCCAGCTTCCCCACCTGGTGAAGAAATAAAGGCAAGGAATCGGCCTGCCCGTGGGATAACGTGAAGGGTTTTGGTAGAGCTGTGGCCATGATTCTCGTGGTGGGGACCCAGTTGTGGCAGGGGCCACGCTGGCACGTGGGGATGGCTAACCTGGCCGCAGGGCTCCGGCGGTGCCCTCCTGCCTCCCAGGGTGGCTGCAGAAGGAGGGAAGGAGCTGGGCTGCCATGGCAGTGGTGGCCAGGTGAAGATGACACCCACGCTAAGCCAGAGCACTGCGAACACCTGCCCCTACCCACAAGCTATTTCTATTTTTGCTCCATCTCATACCCTGGCTGACTCAGAGGAGGGGAGCGAGGGGGCGGGGGCAGGTTAGAAGGAGCCAGCCAGGGGCTGCAGGTGGGTTGAAAGAGGAAGAGGAGGAGGTGCGTCAAAACCAGGAGCTGCTGTTCTTTCAACCAGCTTGGGCCTTTCCTATTTCACGCTTCTCCGTTTCAGCTGCGGGCAGCTTGAGGCAAGGGTGGCCGTGAGGCGAAGGGGCTTTCGGGCACCACCAGAACAAACGATGCCTGCTCCTGGAGAGCTCCACCATAACCGGCCCCGGCTGGAATGAGCCCGGCTGGAGCTCATCCTTTTAGCTGGTATCTTCCAGGGATTCCCAGTTCTCTTTTTGGTTGCTTTGCAAAATTTACATCAGGGAAGGGCAAGTGCCGAAGCTCCTGATTCCCGTGTGCCTGAGCGGCGTGGCTTCTGGGCGCAGGCACAGTCCGAGGTCGGTAGTGTAAAAGTCGGGCAGGTCCTTGAGGCGCCGTCTCGCAGCCTAGAAGTTGGCCACCAGGACAGGGTCGTGAGGCCCCCCCAACCAGCCAGGCCAGCGAGGTCTCTGTGGCCGGTGGCCCTCCCGCCCCCGCGGGGGGATTCATGAATTCCGAGGTAACAGCACATCCTGCTTTGTGCTCGGGCTGGGCTGGGGGGTGAGAGCGCACACAGCGAGGGGGGAGCAAGGGGAACTGAAACGCCCTTCGCAACCTGGTGTCAGCAACCTGCCCCAGCGCTGCGCCGCCCTTCCTCCTCCTCCTCCTCCTCCTCCTCCTCCCCCCCCCGCCCCCGGCACGCTTCCCGGCTCTCCTCGCTGGCGGGGGGGGCGGGGGTGCCTGGGTCAGCCCCCGGCCGGAGCGG